TCGATTCCCAGGGGTAAGGTCATGTTTGGTCAACAGGTCTTATTGACGGCGCAATTGAGCGCGTGGGACGCGCGCGAAACGCGAGGGATATTCCCTCTCTCGCTCCCCTTTCTATTCCGGTATGCAGGTTGGACAGCAGGCTACGGATGATCGTAATCGTGCAAACCCGGAGGGAGGGACTCTCATGAAAATGACGGGGATGATCGTCGTCTTGCTTAGTGGTAAAATCAGGGATTTTCGTCTCGCTTACGTTTTTCAGGAGTAAAATCTCACATTTCTGGCTGTCAAGCTATCTTTTGAGGTTGCTTGCGAACAAATTTCAATAAAGAAAGCCGCTGTCATTCAGTTTTCGTTGTCTAAGTCGATAAAAAAGGAAATCAAGATACCCACAGCTAAAAATTGGTATCTTTTAGGGGTCCATAAACCTAGAGCCACGCCCAGATTGGTCTCCTTTAAAGGGTAAATTTAAAATTTCCCACGAGCAACCCCGTCATTTGTATTAGAATCTCCCCCCCCCCGGCCGTGCAAATTAATTATCAAAACTTCAAAATCGCTTTTAAGGTAATCCTTAGTCTGCAAAGTGTGGAAGATATTGTGGCCCCGACCACTGGAGATTTTGACCAATTTATTTAAGAGCAAGTCAAATACCCGGGGGGAAAGTGTCATTGGATTCGACTTGTATATAAATCAGCCATGTTCCACTAATTGTTCAGTCATGCGCACGAACTAACCTTTAGTCTTTTTTTTAGTACACTCTGCTCCTTCTTCACCGTCTTTTGTTTCCTTTTCCTAATTATCGTCCTCGATGAAATCGTCGTCCCCAATGTCAGTATCAGACATTTGGTCTGTCCCATCGTCATTGTCCACTTCAGTTGCAGCTGATTTTTGTTCACTCTTGCCCGTGCTAACCGACTCTACAAAAAATATTGCATTTTCAGTTGAGGATCGAATAAAATAGTTTCTTTAGCATTTGGCCAAACTATTAGTCCACGATAAAATTTGTAAATGTCGATTAAAAATTCCTCATACGCTTAACTTTGCCATGTTTTTAACGCGTATTTTTGTTTTCGAAAAAGTGCAGTGCGTTTAACTTGAGCGAAACTAAACGGCAGGGTTGAATCAAGAGCAGCATGCATCACAGAAAGACCCTGAAAGCATAAGTAATTTCAATTCCAATTTTAATTAATCTAACTACAGATTTTCCCTACCGACCTGAGCTAAAATTCGATAGCTTTCAACTATTTCAGACCTGTTGGAGTGGATCCGGGATTTGCGATAACGGTTTTAAACTCTTGAGAAGGGCTTCAAATTCAAAAACAACACCCTATTTCAGACCGAAATGGTCAAAATCTATACCCTTGGAAAGGGACATACCTATATAGCTTAAACTTAACGTTTCAACAGGAGATGTCACCGTTGTCGACGCTC